CTCCTTGCGTGCGTTATTTGTTGTTGTCTAATCTTGAATTAGCCAGGCCATCCAGGACCATGTTAAATAGGGGTAAGAGGGGTTTCTGGTTATTCCTCACATTAAAGAAAATGCTTCCATTTTGTTCCCCATTATGTATGACGTTTGCTCTGTTTTTTGTAGAGACTCTGTTAGATGAAGGAAGTTTTCTTTTACTCCCAGTTTACTAAGAGCTTTGGGTTTTTTGTTTGTCTTTGTTTTTTGTTTTTTTGAGAATTTTGATCACAAATGAGTGATTAATTTAATGCTTATTAATTAAGCATTTATTTAGCATCTGTTGAGAAGACAATATGGCTTAGAGTTTTTCCCTTTTAATCTATTGAGGTAGTATATTATACAGATGAATGTTTTGGTGTTGAAACATCTTGCATTCCTGGGATAAGCCTCATCTTGTCATGACATGTATGATCAAGCCACTCAAGATCTTTGTACATCCCCTTCTCGACCAGGCCCCGCTTCCCTCACATGACTATCCAGTTCTCTTAATTATACGGCTTAATCAGAAACTCTCCAGGTGCTTGCCCACTGCCCCTGCCGCTGGTTTCCCTGGTAACTGATGAGCCCACCTGTTGTCAATCCCCCCTATAAATGGTAGCCTCCTTCTCCCCTGAGCAGCAAAGATTGTTGCTATGTGCTGTTGCCGTCTGCATTACACGGAGGGATGTTTCTCCAGGACCTTTCGCTTGAGACCTGTAAGATGCTCTATTTAATAACCATTGATGTTTCTGTCACTGACTCCGGGCTCTTTCTTTGGTCTTGTAGAGGCTGGGTAACTACAAGGCTTGCAGGCCTACAGGGTGCAGCCCCACATTATATTTAATATCTTTTTATACACTACTAAATTTGAATAGCTAATAAGTTATTTAGGATGTTTATAAGTGAGCTTAGTCTATAATTTTCCTCTTTTTTTTTTTGCGGTACGTGGGCCTCTCACTGTTGTGGCCTCTCCCGCTGCGGAGCACAGGCTCCGGACACGCAGGCCCAGCGGCCATGGTTCACGGGCCCAGCCGCTCCGCGGCATGTGGGATCTTCCCGGACCGGGGCACGAACTGTGTTCCCTGCATCGGCAGGTGGACTCTCAACCACTGCGTCACCAGGGAAGCCCTATAATTCTCCTCTTTTAACATCTTTGCACTTTTTCCGTTTTTCTATTCTTTGAAACTACTTGTAAAAGATAAGGATTATCTTTCCCCTGAGGATTAAGTAAAATTCACCTGTAAAATCATCTGGGCCTGGTGTCATTCATGGGTGTAACTAATTACCAATTCTGTTTCTTTACTCCTTGTTAAATGCAGGGTTTCAGTTTCTTTTTGATTTGATTGTGTTAGTTTATGTGTTTCTCAGTGTTTCCATTTAAGTGTTCAGAGTCAGTGATAGTTATTTGTAGTGTTAGCTTATGATTTTTAATCTATTTTATCTGCTATTATGACCCCTTTTTATTTGGAATTTTAATTGTCTGTGACTTTTCATATATTTTCCTCCTTATCAGTTTTGCTAGAGTTTTGCAATTTGACCTTTCACACATTTTATATAAAAGCCTGCCAGGCTCTAGTTTAAAGCAGTATGACCCTCCAACCCGCCATCTTGTGTGGAGGGGTTTTATTCCCCTTTATTCTGAAGAAGCTAAGCTCCTGGCTGCCCACTGCCTCTCTCAGAATGCCGTGTCCTGCTCACTGTATTTTGTTTCTGTTCATTTGGTCCAGGCAACGTTTATCTTGCTCTTAATTCTAACTTTATTATCTTCTTTGTATGTAATTTTCACTCTTTATGTCCCTACAGCAGAATAGGTTTATCAAAGAACATGATCTCGAGTCCAATCAAATCACAGAGTACGGAGCACTGTATTGGTACTTTACACACAATATTTTCATTACCATCTTACAGGTGAGGAAAGTAAAGCCAGGAACAAGTGACCTGCCCAAGGCCACTCAGATAACAAGTGGCAGGGGTACCTCCAGAACTGGTCATTCCTTTTCATCACCTGCTCTACCCTAAGCTTGATCCTCACTGCATCCCTTGGCGGGGGTAGGGATATGTTTTAACTTCATCCTTGTAGTTCATGATCCTTATGAAATAAAGGCTTTAGCAAAGTGAGATTTACTGTTAACAGATATACTGCTAAATGCTATGAGGGACAAAATATGTTCTTGTACTTGTCTTTAGACTTTGCTGTAAATTTCCTTATGCTTTGATTGGCCATTGAAACATTTACTTGGAATATTCCTCCTGGTAGTTTTCATGTGAAAGCTTATAAAATATAGGATCTTTAGAGTCAGTAAATGTTTCCAACAGTGTTTACCTTTAGTACTTATTTTTTTGTGTTATACAATGTGCACTTATATCCTAAAAAGACAAAAGTCTTCAAGTTTGGAGTTTTCTACCTTTAAAAATCAAGAAGCCAGACTTTTGCTCAGTAGAAAATATAATTATGCAAGTAACTACAGAAATGTGGTGTGCAAGTACAGCTTCGTTAATGAGTTACGACAGTTGAAGGATGTTCTTGAAGGAAAGATAAGCATTTGCCAGATGTCCATTGGCCTGTGGTAAATCTTAGATTTAAAGATCTATTTGCAGAGAAATATAGACAGCTGCCAGCCTGGGCTAGGAATTTTTAAATGTCTCCTTTACTTGCATGAAATACAATATAAAATAGCATGCTTTTGCAAATTAACAACAAGCAACAACCCCTTCATTTTCATGCAGAATTATGTAGTATTTGACCAAATGGGAAAAGTTATGTTTAATTTTTAATGTTGATCCTATGGACATATATGAATCTATATACACACGTAATATTGATAAGAAATACATAATTTCTTTGGAAGCACTGACAACTTAAAAAACTCAATTAAAAAATTGCGTAAAATGCTTTTCAAATAAAAACTCCAACTCAGAAGGACACTTCCACTCTGAAAGCTGTTTTTGTTCTTTCAATCTTTAAAATAGACCAAGGAACAGTAACAATTATGTTTTTTATTTCCTACATAAGAGTGTTCCCTTTATTCTGATTCTGTAAAATGTTTTTTTTCTGAAGGAAACTTATTACTTTACACTTTTTATTGACTATTTTTGTGTTCTCACATCTTTCCCACTATCTCTAAGCTCAGCATTTCCCAGAAACTTGGAAAACAGTCTCATTGTTCTGATGTGCACTTCACTTAGTGCCCCAGATGTGAATTTCCTATATACATATTTCTCCTCCAAAGGAATTTGAGGCTGTAAATCTTGGAATTTTCGTTAGTTTACTCTAGTGAATTCTTTTTTTTTTTTTTTTTTTTTTGCAGTACGTGGGCCTCTCACTGCTGTGGCCTCTCCCATTGCGGAGCACGGGCTCCGGACGCGCAGGCTCAGCGGCCATGGCTCCGGGGCCCAGCCGCTCCGCAGCATGTGGGATCCTCCCAGACCGGGGCACGAACCCGTGTCCCCTGCATTGGCAGGCGGACTCCCAACCACTGCGCCACCAGGGAAGCCCTCTAGTGAATTCTTGACAGAGAACATCCCCTCATGTACTGATGTGTGGCATGTGTCACAGTTCACTTGGGTGGTGACAGGACTAGCTAATGGAAGTGGACAGGACGTGGAATGTTAGGGTGACTCTGTCTCTAACAAGGAGCACCCGTTCCACAATATCTACACATGGAAAACCCAGGCCCAGAGAAATGGATTGGCTAGGAATCACCATCACCATCATTTCCTGGATCCTGAGGGGGTCTAGATAGGCAATCGGTTATTTCTGGTCGTCCTTTCCACAGACACTTGAGATACACATGTACTTGAGATATGAGCTTAGCAATCTAGATTTTTATGATTTGTGTTTGATCTTTTATGTCATGTGACTTCAGATGGAATTTTGTTTTGCGACTTGAGCTCAACTTTTTTTTTTTAAAGAAATTTATTTATTTTATTTACGTATTGCTGTGCAGGCTTTAGTTGCGGCGAGTGGGGGCTACTCTTTGTTGCTGTGCGTGGCCTTCTAATCGTTGTGGCTTCTCTTGTTGCGGAGCACGGGCTTCAGTGGTTGCGGCACGCAGGCTCAGTAGGTGTGGCTCACGGGCTCTAGAGCGCAGGCTCAGTAGTTGTGGCACACGGGCTTAGTTGCTCTGCGACATGTGGGATCTTCCTGGACCAGGGCTCGAACCCGTGTCCCCTGCATTGGCGGGCGGATTCTTATCCACTGCACCTCCAGGGAAGCCCTGAGCTCAACTTTTAATCTAATAGTCTGTTAATATCTCTGAAAGACTTCCTTAGTAGAGAATAAAGTATTTAATCTCACCTCTTTAAATAAGTGTTATTTATGATTTTTATTGAATTACTATAATTATTAATTTTTAGTGTGATGTAATCGTGGTGTTTATTCTTGACTATAGAATGAATTCAAAGTTATCAACAGCTACTAATTAAGTGTTTAGCATTGTGCTAAATGTTTCGCATGTGTTACCTCATTAAAACCCCAAATCCATATTAGTATCTCTAATTATAAAAAGTGGACTTTGAAATACTTTGAAATTCAGAGAGATTTTGTTGACTAGCCCAAAGATACACAGAAACTAAGTGGAAGAACTGAACTTCAAATGAAAATGTTTCTCAGTTGCCTAATCATTATAAGATTACAATACATTCTACTATTAGTGCTTAAAATCATTAACTGTAAAGCTTATAAACAATGGAAATGAAATAGTACAAATCACAAACTCACAATGACCTCCATCGAACTAATATAGCCAGTTTTAGCAAACTTTTTAAATTTTATTTTATTTATTTTTTAGCGGTACGTGGGCCTCCCACTGCCGCGGCCCCTCCCGTCGTGGAGCACAGGCTCCGGACACGCAAGCTTAGCGGCCATGGCTCACGGGCCCAGCCGCTCTGTGGCATGTGGGATCCTCCCGGACCGGGGCACGAACCCATGTCCCCCGCATCGGCAGGCGGACTCCCAACCACTGCACCACCAGGGAAGCCCTTAGCAAACTTTCTAAGAAATGTTTGCTTTCTTTCTTCCTCGCTCCTCTAGAGAGAGAATAAACAAGTATGCCCACCATTGTCCCATCCCAGCAGAGGTCCCCAAGGTGGGGTGTGTTTGTATGTGTAAGCAACCCAATAAAACCCAGCAGCATGGATGCAGCAAAAGAAGAGAGAAATATTTCCTCAAGTCTTTTTGATTCTCTGAGGGAAAAGCAACAGGGGAGGGAAGAGAGGAGATGACAGGTTGACATGGCTGGTTTTACATGCCTTGTGTGTGTACCCTGCTCTTGCAATCCTTACCCAGCTGTCCTCACAAACTCAGCTGTGTCACCGAAGCAAACAACAAACCAAATGTCGACACCATTCATTATGTGTCTAAAGGCAGGACAAAAAATTCTTAAAATGCAAAGTTTTTGACTCCATTCTCTGAAGTTTGGTATATAGATACCCTATTACTCCGATGTCTTTTTACAAATAAAACTTGAATTTGATTATTTCACTGGAATATTCCATCTAGTTCTTAAAGACAGTCAAGATTTTATTTCTATCAAGTTTTCTCCATATGTTATTGGGGTAGTGATTTATAATTCTGGTTTTGAAATATCTTCTAATATCTCTGGTTATCTCAGAAGATGCCAAAAAGTTTTCGAAAAGTCCTCCAAGAAAAATGTTGAAACATCTCTAGAGGGCTGTTAAAATAATTCCTCTATTTTTCTCCTTCCAGAATCGCACCATGCCAAACTACAAACTCACTTATTTTAATATGAGGGGGAGAGCAGAAATTATTCGTTATATATTTGCATATTTGGACATAAAGTATGAAGACCACAGAATAGAACAATCTGATTGGCCTGAAATCAAGTCAAGTAAGTAGCACAAATGTAGTTCATGGAAATGTATGTAGAGAAAATGTTTCCAGAACCTTTTGTCTTTCCTCAGGGAAAGGAAAATAGAAAGGTTTTTAAATCTCATGGAGCTTTACACTGAGAAGCAGCAGTTCAGGCAAGTTAAATAAATGCTCTGCGACCCAGAAAATTTCCTATTGAGGTGAAAACACAAAACTGACAGAGGGGGCATATAAAAATAACACAACATGAAGCTTTATCAGAAGAGCTGAAATGGAGGAAATACTGAAGTCAAACTTTTGACCATTGGACTAGCCTGGGCTTGCTCAGATATCAATAACATTTGGATGATAGATAAGATAAGCTGCTGTAACAGAAAACAAAACTCAGATGGCTTAAATAACAAGGAAATGAATTGTACCACATAACGGAAAATCCAGAAGTAGGCCAGGTTTCAAAGGATGGCTTTATCCATTTTTCCTCCTCAGCGTGTTGGCTAAATCATGAAGCTGGTAGCAATATGTTTGCTGCAATTCCAGCCTCGCAGTGTTGAAAAGCAATTTTGAGAGGCTAGAGGAGAAAGCACTGCTTCCTTAAGTGTTCCCAGAAGAATGAGGAAAAACTTTCCAGGAGACCTCAGCAAACCTCTCATGTTTCACTGGCTCAGATTGGGTCACGTGTCCATTTCTGAACCAATCATTGGCAAAGGGAGTGGGAGGAACCTTAGAATCATCTAGTCCACCTCTGAAGTAGGGGATGGAAGCAGTTTTCATGAGGCTTTGTGACCATATGAGAGAGGGGTGGGTACGTGAACAAAACTGGGGTCTGTATGATCAGAGGAAAGAGCAAATTTACAAATTGGGCGGGTAGCACAATGAAAACATGCTTCTTAGCACTCAGGACAGTGAGGAAGAATTAGAAATATTATTAAACAAACAAAAGTGTGTGGTTTTCAGTTAAGTTGTAAGTCATCCTCTAGATGCTTGCCATGTTCCCTGGAAATACTAAATATTAAGTGTCTAAAATTTATATTTTTACGCTAGATTATTAAAATTTCAGATAAAGATGAAGCTGAAGAAAACAACTATATAGCATTTGTAGGCTATCAGAACTGGATAGTCTGCAGACCCTATTTCATTTAATTTCTCTAACACATCAACACGGGATGTATTATTGTTTCTATTTTATAGTTGGATTAACTATTAATTTTATAGTTGGAAGCACACAGAGTTTAGGTATTTTTTTCCAAGTTCACAGCCCTAGCAAGGTACAGCTGATTTTCAAACACAGGTCCATCTAATACCATAGCCCAAGTTATTTGCACTAGATAATGCCAACAAAAATAATACCATGATAATTGACGTATTCACAATAAGTATTGCCACTTGCCTTTTGGAAGCATGAGTTTCTCTGAAGTCATTGCCCCTGTAATTACTCCTTTTCTTATCAGAGAACTCTTCTCCGATGGGATAGAATATCTTATTTCCTGTTCTTCTGAAACTTTACCTTTAATATCCAAGCATTTCTTCTGATATCAGAATTTGTACATGAGCTTCTGTGGACATAAAATAGGTGAATATTAAATTTATCCATTAAATAAGTCAAGATGAATAGCAAGTTGTGGAGGTATTACATATAACAAATTCTGCCTTTTAGTTTTTAGATATAAGTTCTTTGTATTCTTTATACCCTATTCTACCTTAACTTTTCATTGTTATTAAAAATGGAATTACTGCATTTTCTTAATGTTTTCACATATTCTTAGAATTGAAAGGGATCTTAAAGTTAATGATGGTTAAGCTACAGTTTCAAATGCTTTAACATACACCCAACACAAAAATGGCTTAAAGAGGAGAAAAATTTATTTCTTTTGCATAAAAGCCCAAGTTAGTATAGCAGTTCTGCCCCATGATGTTGTCAATGATGAGGCTCTTTCATTTCTGTTCATCTGCACCCGTAGTGGGTTCTTATTGACACAGTGTGAATAGTTCACCCTCCTTCCATATTCCAACTCACAGAAAGTGCAGAAGAGGGAAGAGAACACACCTCTTCCTTTTAACAGCCTGACCAGGAAGTTGCACACATCACATCAGTTATATCTGTTTGGCAAGAAATTAGTCACATGGTCATGCATTACTACGAAGGAAGCTGGGGAACGTTGACTTTATTGTGGACAACCATTTGCCCGGCTAAAAATCCAGGATTTTATTACTTTGAGAAAAAAAGCAAAGAATAGATATTGAAAAGCAGTTTCTATTACAAATTGTATCTGGTATCGTCTCCTGTCCAATTTAGGGATGCTCTCTGGTGTTTGAAACTCGCTATGACCATCCCCTCTGCTATAATCTAGAATATCATTGGATACTTCTATTAAAATTTTCTTCCTGCTCAAACCTGGTAGATTGTACACATGTGTTTAATCTCTCCTTTAAAAACATTAAAGTACTTAAAAAAAAGTCACCACCACCCCAAGGACAAAGAAATCAACCTTGAATATGATAGCACAAAATTCTGGAAGCTAGAAAACCGGTCAAAGAATGGTAAGGTGACTTACCATTAAGGCCAGTGATGCTCAAATATAAGCCTGGAGGAGGAGAAGGCAAGCTAAATCACCCCAGAGATCCTCCAGAGGGTCAGGAATTGGTTGCAAAAGATAACTTTAAGAGCTGAGCTGATACAGGTTTGCCTGGAAAAATATGAAGAAGCAGTATGACCACAAGTTCCCTCTCTCTCCCTGGAAGAAGCATAGAGATTACTTTCAAGAGGATGGACCAGAGGATTCTAGGACACCAGGCATGTCTCGGACACAATGCTACAGTAAACATGGCATTCAGTGGAAGTCTAGAAACTAGATGGTGGGACCAACAGCCCTTTCCCCTGCTCTACAATCAATGGCAACCAGACTAATATCCCTTACACAGGAAATGGGAGGAATTCTCTCTGGGGAAGCTGATCAGTCTAAGAAAAACGTCTAACAGATACTGAACAGATGGGGATCCCTCAATGAATTTGCCTAGCCCAATCTGTGGGCAAGCCCCTCCTATACACACTGAGGTTCCAGTGAGCGTTTACCTCTTTGCCCTTTTAAATAGTAATGGCAAGTCAAAAGTTAACCCATATTTGCGAAAACTCTCTAATATAAAACAGACCTAAAACCAAACACCTCTGGAGATGTCAAGATGGTATAGCAAGAAAACAAGTTCAAAAATATAAAATCCTCAGAGAAAAGAGAAGATATTCTATACAATCTTAAAGGAATGTATGGAGACAAAAAGTTCTTGGAAATGAATGTCGGATACAAAGAAATCAATAAAATGATGAAAACTAAGTAAATCCCCCAGAAAGCACAATAGGAAAAAAACAAAAAATAAGAGAAAAAAGATAAGGAAAATTGAGAATGAACCAGTTTAGGAGGTCCAACATCTCCATGAAATTCTGGAAAGGGAGAACAGAAAGAAGAGGGAGGAAAACTTAAAAGAATCTTCCTTATACAAAATTGAAATTACCTCCATGTGGCTTTCATACATTGGTCTTGGACTTACCATTTTAATGCATGGAGAACCAATTATTTTTTCTCTCACATCCAGTTATTATAAGACATTTAGTAAATTTAAGACATCATAGAGAAAAAGACATTGCAGTATAGTCAGTTTAATGAAAACGCTCTGAAGTTAAGGAAGGTCTTTGGCTGAATTCAGAATTGAGTCCCTAGGTAACTCATTACCTGTATCTCTATTTAGATGTCAACTTTTGGAGCTTCCTTGATCGTTTCTCTGATCATTATTGTGAAATTCAGTCCACCCTTCCCACCCCTGACTCTACTTCTTGATTTAGGTACTATTTCCTATGGACTGTCTGAGATCCGCCATCACATCTAGGTTCAAAGGACAACTCTCTTCTCTTCCTAGAGTGTTCCATTTATTGCCCCTGGTTTGGGTTTGCTCACCACCCAAGTAGAACAAGCTTCTGTTAGACTCTGTCTGCTAATTTACGTGTAGTGCCTGTGCCTGCAAGCATAGGAACAGCACAGAGCAGAACGGGACCATCACTCCTGGCACAAGTGTAGACATTTTTCTAAGACGTTTTACCAAGATCACAGTAGCTATGTTGGCAGCCATATCATACTGAGGCCTTGCATTCAGCACCGCTAAATCTCTTAAAGCTTTTTGACAGGTGCTCCCGTTAAGTTACAACTCCAACACCATGAAATTCTTTTTTTCTGGAACCAAATAAAGGACTTAGCATTTGTCTTCTTAAATTGCTTCTTGTTAGATGCAGCCCATATTCCAATTGTTGGCAATTATTCCAAGCTTGGCTAAAATGCTTCCAGTAGCTGAAAGCTTACCACCTCATAAGAAAACACATTCCATTGTAATAGCTCCAAAGGTAACAGAATTATTCTTCATCTTGAGTTAAAATATGCCCTTTAGGACTTCCCTGGTGGTGCAGTGGTTAAGAATCTGCCCGCCAATGCAGGGGACACGGGTTCGAGCCCTGATCCGGCAAGATCCCACATGCCGCGGGGCAACTAAACCCTTGTGCCACAACTACTGAGCCTGCGCTCTAGAGCCCGCGAGCCACAACTATGGAGTCCGTGCTCTGCAACAAGAGAAGCCACCGCAATGAGAAGCCCGCGCACCGCAACGAAGAGTAGCCCCCGCTCGCCGCAACCGGGGAAAATCCCGCGCGCAGCAACGAAGACCTAACGCAGCCCACCACCAAAAAATTAATTAATTAATTAAAATATGCCCTTTAAAAATTTCTTCTTGGTTCTCATTCTGCATTTTAGAGATAGTCCAAATAAGTAAGATTATTTTTCCATTTGATAGCTATGCCATGTTGGAGATGGTTTTTTTTTTTTTTTTTTTTTTTTGCCCTACCCAGGTATGTGGGGAGTTTCTTGCCTTTTGGGAGGTCTGAGGTCTTCTGCCAGCCTTCAGTATGTGTTCTGTAGGAGTTGTTCCACGTGTAGATGTATTTCTGGTGTATCTGTGGGGAGGAAGGTGATCTCCGCGTCTTACTCTTCCGCCATCTTCAAGGTGCCCCCCTTGGAGATGGTTTTTATGTTCCACTTCATTTGTTCTGTCCTCTTCAGTGAAGAGTGGTCGAAGTTCTTCAGCCAATCCTCATATCATGTGATTTTCAGACCCTCTCTAACTTGGATACTATCCTTTGGGCTTGCTCTGATTTTTAATGTCTTTCAAAAACATGGCTCTTAGAACTAGAAAACAGCTGAGTAAGAGTTCCAACTGGATTTCACCTCTCACTTGGCTCTCACCTCTATCAGGTGTGTGATCTGGACTATTTCTATAACCTCTCTTCACCTCATTTCCTCATTTATAAAATGAGATGGTAGTTAATACCTACTTCATAGGGTTGTTGTAAGTACCAGAAGACTGAATGGGCATGTTAAATATTTAGTACAATGCCTAGCACAAAAGGAAGCACCCCTCAAAATGTCAGGCATGTTAATTCCCTCTTGATTACATACTTTGCCTCAAATAAGGCATCACAGTTTGTATCAGTTTTATTTGGGACTTTGTTTTGCTCACTGCAGTATCTCAAACACCTGGAATAGTACTTGGCACACTTATTAGGTAAGTGTTCAAAGATGTTTTTATTCCTGATGTGAACTGTAGTTCATCTTGTACTTATTCAGTGCAAACAAAAGACACTTGAAGGTTGATTCTAGTAGTTGTGTTACAGTCATGGGATTATGAGTGGCACTTTATTCTTTTCCCTCTATCCAAAACAATTATATGTCCCAACCTAAGGCACTGGTTGGGAAAATTGTGATTAATTCGTATGGCAAAATGTATGCTTTAAAAAATGATGTTTTATTGATTTAGAAAGATTTTAAAAGGTATTATCAAATTTAAAAAAGTGGTTTACAAACATATATACATTATGATTTTGTTTTGATATATATATGGGAAAGCAATTAAAATATTTATCATTATGTGGTAGAATTATTTTTATTTATCTTCAACTTAGAATTTTTCTATAAGGAAGAATAATAAATTATTCTCTGACAAAAATATAATAGGTTTAGATAAGAAAACAAAGTAGGATTTACAGATAAATATTAATACACCTGCTATGAATCTGTCCTATATTTGTACAAATATGCTTGTCGCTTACTATATACTTCAAATGATCAATAAGAATTTGGCTAAGTTCCTTATCATAACTCAATATCAAACTCTTCATATTCCTCAGACTATGGTTTTAAAGAATAATTAATGTAATCTCTGAGGACTGAAAATTTAATAAGGCTTTAAAAGTTTAAAAAAATTATATAGTAAGTATGTGAGATAACATATAATATATATCGATAGTATCACTGTAAACTTGGGGTTTAGACCCAGTTCTGTCACTAAGTCTATAGCAGCTCTTCTAACAACTCTTCTTTTCCCCTTTTCTAAAAAAATTGGGGTATAGTTGCTGTTCAATATTATATAAGTTGCAGATGTACAACATAGTGATGCACAATTTTTAAAGGTTATACTCCATTCATAGTTATTATAAAATATTGGCTGTATTCCCCATGTTGTACAATATATCCTTGTAGCTTATTTTATACCTAATAGTTTGTACCTCTTACTCCCCCACCTCTATCTTGTCCCTCCCCTCTTCCCTCTCTCCACTTGTAGCCACTCATTTGTTCTCTATGTCTGTGAGTCTGTTTCTTTTTCTAACAACTCTCTATTTTTAAACTTGTAAAATGTAAAGATTCCACTAGAGGATGCCTAATGTCCCTTCTAGAATTAATATTCAAGAATTCTGTAACGTTACTATCATGTTTTATTTCCACAATTATCAGTAAAATGGAAGTATTATAACTTGATTTTGTTCTGGAAGTTGATTCTTTGCTCATTTTATTTTAAGCTCTTCCATTTGGGAAAATTCCCATTTTGGAAGTCGATGGATTGAACCTTCACCAGAGCCTAGCAATAGCAAGATATCTGACCAAAAATACAGGTAATATATTTATTGTGTGTACAGTTTTTGATAACTGAAAAAAAAACATGGCATATATTCAATATTCATTAAGTAACGTTATTACTGAATGGGATTAAAATATAGTGCAAAGGAGAATGGGATTCAGTGCCAGAGAAGTATAAATATACCATCTCTACCAGTTTAATTTCCCCTGAGTTCCCTAGACAATTAATTTTATACTGCCTGCAGTCTCTCCTGCCCCACACTTCCTTGTCCTCAATCCCTTATTGGAATTTAGCTGAAAAATTAGACAGATGTGTCTGAACCCAAACTTTTGCTAGCATGCATATCACAGGTTATCAGAGAAGATTAATTAATGGGAAATACGTGTGGCATAGGGAGGCTGAAATGACTCATACTATTAAAATCAGGTACCCGATGTCTTTCATCCTAATCATGCTAAAAAAAATAGAAGGGGAGTCTCCTTTGCCTCCATAAAGTGCCATCTGAGGCCTCCTGAGTGGGTCGTTGGCTACTGGATTGCTTATTCAGCGCATGCGCCAACGTGATGAGATGAGGAGTAATAAGGGAAACTTAGTTCTCATCTTCGCCTGGTGCCTTTCCCCATCTTATGCTCTGCTGTCTTCTCTCTCCCCTCACACTCTCATAACACTCTTTTTGAGTGAAAGGCTACATTTGGCTTCTTTTAAAGACCCTTTCTTTATAAATAATCTGCTGAATCACCATGTCCCACTCCTGACACTGACACCCTCTTTGCTACCCCCAAAACCACTATGATCCAAGCTGTAGAGACATGGTTATCTTTTTTTTTTTTTAATTCGTTTAATTAATTAATTAATTAATTTGGCTGCGTTGGGTCTTCGTTTCTGTGCGAGGGCTTTCTCTGGTTGCGGCGAGCAGGGGCCACTCTTCATCGCGGTGCGCGGGCCTCTCACTGTCGCGGCCTCTCCTGTTGCGGAGCAGAGGCTCCAGATGCGCAGGCTCAGTAGTTGTGGCTCATGGGCCCAGTTGCTCAGCGGCATGTGGGATCTTCCCAGACCAGGGCTCGAACCCGTGTCCCCTGCATCGGCAGGCAGATTCTCAACCACTGCGCCACCCAGGAAGGCTGAGAGACATGGTTATCTTACCAATAAAATGGGCCATAATTACTAGACCTTCATTTTTGGACCAAAGTAATGTATGTATGTTAAAAATACAAAAATTTGTGTTACACTAACACATTTCAGCCAACAAAATTTTTTGGAAGTTTAAAAGAGATGGAGGGACTTCCTTTGTGGTCCAGTGGCTAAGCCTCTGCACTCCTAGTACAGGGGGCCTGGGTTCGATCCCTGGTCAGGGAACCAGATCCCACATGCCACAACTAAGAATTCACATGCAGCAACCAAAAAAAAAAAAAAAAAAAAAATAAGATCCCATATGCTAAGACCCAGCAGAGCCAAATAAACTAATAAATAGATAGATAGACAGCTAAATGTAAGAGATGGAGATGCCTTCTGACTATGGACATTTGACTTTGAAGTGGAAATGACATTTGCGCTCAGCCTGAAAAGACACCTAGAATTTCAAGAGAAATATCTGGACTTGAGCAGTGTTTCTCCAATTTTATGTGCATCAGGATCACTTGGAGGTTCATTAAAACAGATTGTTCAGCCTTGTCTCCAGAGATTGTGATTCAATAGGCCTAGGGTGGGAAATTTGCATTCTTACCAATTTCCCAGATGATGCTTATGCAGCTGGTCCATGGAACTCACTTAGAGAATCTCTGGACTAGAACATTCCAGACAGAAAAAATGGCAGGAGAAAAAGAAAAGAACTTCAAAATTTGCTGGGTGGAGCGGAAGCAGAAAGAGAAAGGGATGGAAAAATAGATTCTGGTAAGAAAGAGCCAGAGTATTAATGTCATCCCTTAAAGAACTGTAGAGTTTTTTGGGGTTTTTTTTGCGGTACACGGGCCTCTCACCATTGCGGCCTCTCCCGTTGTAGAGCACAGGCTCCGGACGCGCAGGCTCAGCGGCCATGGCTCACGGGCCCAGCCGCTCCGCGGCATGTGGGATACTCGCAGACTAGGGTATGAACCCGTGTCCCCTGCATCGGCAGGCGGACTCTCAACCACTGCACCACCAGGGAAGCCCCTGTAGAGTTGTTTTTAAATTGAGATATAATTCACATATAACATTACATTAGTTTCAGGTGTATGACATAATGATTCAGTACATGTATATATTGCTAAATGATCACACAGTAAATCTAGTTAACATCCATCACCTCACGTAGTTACAGATTTTTTTCCTTGTGATGAGAACTTTTTTTTTTAATAAATTTATTTATCTATTTATTTATTTATTTTTGGCTGCATTGGGTCTTAGGAGAACTTTTAAGAACTACTCTCTTAACCACTTTCAAATAGATGGTATTCTTAGCTATACTCACCATGCTGTACATTACATCGCCAGGGAGTATTCATCTTCTAACTGGAAGTTTGTATCTTTTGACCACTTCCACCCATTTTACTGCCCCTACCACTGCTCCTGCCTCTGGTAACCATCTGTTCTCTGTATCTTTGAGTTAGTTATTAGCAGTAATTTTTAAAGATTCCAATATGAGTGAGATCACACAGTGTTTGTCTTTCTCTGTCTGACTTCAACTTTAAATTTTTATCTGGAAAAGCAACATAACCATGGCTATGAGCTTAGGAAGATTATTCTGGCCATACTTTGTTTGGCATGACTGCAGGGGTGCCTATTTGGGAAATATGAGAAAGTTTGTGAAGATAGAATCATCCTAGGGTTAGAAGACATACTGGCATGTGGAGGGAAGTCTATTTGAGCAGGAGAGTAAGGGCCAGGCAGACGACACCTGGACATAGCTCCTTATTCCCATAACTCCTTGGCCTTATGCTCTTCCTTGTCCTCTTCTTAAAAGAAAAAGTTCCTTAACTTGCAGTATCCTTTCCATTGTCTGTCTTTCCCAGTTAGCCGTAAGTGCCATGCAGGCAAGGAATTGATCTCCTTTGTTCACTGCTGTAGCCCCAGTTGCGGCCGACCCCAAAGGATACATAGAGAACTATCCCAAAGGAAGCTGAGAGGGCTTACCTGGTGGCGCAGTGGTTGAGAGTCTGCCTGCCGATGCAGGGGACGCGGGTTCGAGCCCCAGTCTGGGAAGACCCCACATGCTGCGGAGCAGCTGGGCCCGTGAGCCATGGCTGTTGAGCCTGCGCGTCCACAACCGGTGCTCTGCAACGGGAGAGGCCGCAATAGTGAGAGGCCTGCGTACCGCAAAAAAAAAAAAAAAAAAGGAAGCTGAGAATATGGCTCTGGAATTTGGGACTAAACATGTTGAATGAGTCATCTGTATAAAATTGACAGCTGAAGCCTTGAGTGTGGAAGTCAAAGTAGGGATGAAAATGAGTGAAGAGACCTTATGATACAATTCGGAGGGATTTCTCAAGGTCAGAAAGAAGAATCAGTCTTTGAACATCACACACATGAAAATATAGATAGCTTACAGAAGAACGCTGATTACTAAGGCATTTTCTTTCACTTTTAACAGCTTTATTGAGGCGTGATTTACATACAGTTCACCATTGTCAGTATATACAGTTCCTTGATTTTTAGTAAATTTATACATTTGTACAAAAGCAACCTATTTTATATTTTTATTTTTTATTAAAGTTACAAGTTATAGGCGTACAATATAGTGATTCACAATTTTTAAAGTTACACTCCATTCACAGTTATAATAAAATATTGGCTATATTCCCTGTGTTGTGCAATATATCCTTGTAGCTTATGTTATACATAATAGTTTGTACCTCTTAATCCCCTACTCCTATATTGCCTCTCCCCGGCCCCACTGGTAACCACTAGTTTATTCTCTGTATCTGTGAGTCTGCTTCTTTTTTGTTATATTCACTAGTTTATTGTACTTTTTAGATTCCACATATAAGTGATATCATACAGTATTTGTCTTCCTCTGTCTGACTTATTTCACTTAGCATAATACCCTCTAATTCTATCCATGTTGCTGCAAATGGCAAATATTCTTTCATTCTTTTTTATGGCTGAGTAATATTCCATTGTGTATATATATATATATATATATATATATATATATATATACACACATCATATCTTCTTTATCCATTTATCTGTTGATAGACACTTAGGTTGCTTCCTTATCTTGGCAATTGCAAATAATGCTGGTATGAACATTGGGGTGAATGTATCTTTTTGAATTAGAGATTTTGTCTTTTCCATATGTATGCCCAGGAGTGGAATTGCTGGGTCATATGGTAGTTCTATTTTTAGTTTTTTGACAAACTTCCCTACTGTTTTCCACAGTGGCTGCTCCAATTTACATTCCCACCAACAGTGTAGGAGGGTTCCCTTTTTCTTTTTCTCCACATCCTTGCCAACATTTGTTACTTGTGTCCTTTTTGATGATAGCCATATTGACAGGTGTGAGGTGATATCTCATTGTGGTTTTGATTTGCATTTCCCTGATGACTAGTGATGTTGAGCATCTTTTCATGTGCCTGTTGGCCATCTGCATGTCCTCTTTGGAAGAATATCTATTCAGTTCTTCAGACCAGTTTTTAGTTAGATTATTTGTCCTTTTGATGTTGAGTTGTATGAGCTGTTTGTATACAATGGATATTAATCCCTTATCGGTCATATCATTTGCAAATATTTTCTCCCATTCAGTAGATTGTCTTTTCATTTTGTTGACAGTTCCCTTGGCTGAAATGCAACCTATTTTAGAATGCTTCTACACTGAATCATTTTAGAATGATTCCTTAGCAAAATGATGGTCAGTGAATGGCAGTAAAGAAAAAAAACAACACTTCTATTATTTTAAACTTATAGTTCCCAGGAAGCAAACAAATGCTCCTGACAAAAAATTATCTGCACATGTAACAGTAATTCTTTCTACAAGATAAATGATAATGTATGTACAGGTTATTTATTGTATTATCACTTGCACTAGCAAAAGACTGGAAACAAACCTAATCAGTTGAGGCTAGTTAAATAAATTGTGGCACTTCCACTTAAAGGAATCCCATGTACCTGAAAAAAAAGCAAGGATGCCCTTAAGGGACTTGTAAGAAAAGACCTCTAGGATATATGGGGGAGGTGCGTTTTGAGTGGGATACCGATTCTTATTTTCATTAAGAAACAATGGAAGAATACAAAATAAATGAATGAAAATGGTTACCAATATGGTAGGTAGGTAAGGAAGCAAAATGAAGTGAATGGGTCAGAGGTGGAAGTTAGTCTTCACCCGACACTGTTTTATATTGTTTTGAATTTTTGAACCATATTAATATATTGCCTATTTTTAAAAAAGTTTTACTATAGTAAAATAAATTGAGCATATTCTTGGGCATAAAATGGCCTGTCTCTATTCCATAGATTTGGCTGGAAAAACAGAAGTGCAACAATGTCAAGTTGATGCAGTCGTGGACACATTGGATGATTTCATGTCTCGTTTTCCTTGGGCAGAGAGAAAACAAGATATAAAAGTAATGTGATCAGTTTGCTGTTACTGCTATTAATCATATCCACTTGCCAAACATTATGTTAGGTGCTTTTCAAAGTTCCTTTTTATCAAAGTAAGACATACATCTAGTTTTAAAATATCAAATTATATTAAAAAGTTTAAAACAAATTACTACAGTGATTCCCAGCCTTACCTCTTCATATTAACCCTTCCTCAGATGCAACCCTCATTTTAACACTTTTAGCTGTTTCTTTAGGATTTATATATCTCCATATTTTCTATAGGATATGTAAATATGGCTTTCTTTGATTCACAAATTTTAGATAGTTTGGGCCTCTCACTGTTGTGGCCTCTCCCGTTGCGGAGCACAGGCTCCGGACGCGCAGGCTCAGCAGCCATGGCGCATGGACCCAGCCTCTCCGTGGCATGTGGGATCTTCCCGGACCGGAGCGCGAACCCGCGTCCCCTGCATCGGCAGGCGGACTCTCAACCACTGTGCCACCAGGGAAGCCCTAGATAGTTCTGATAGACTTATTATAGTAATTAGAATTTATCTCTTACATAGTCATTCTCTTTGCTTCCCTTCCCCCAAACTCCTAATATAATATTAAAATTTTGTGGTGAGGGGGCTTCCCTAGTGGCGCAGTGGTTGAGAGTCCGCCTGCCAATGCAGGGGACGCGGGTTCGCGCCCCGGTCTGGGACGATCCCACATGCCACGGAGAGGCTGGGCCCGTGCACCATGGCCGCTGAGCCTGCACGTCCGGGGCCTGTGCTCCGCAACGGGAGAGGCCGCAACAGTGAGAAGCCCACGAACCACAAAAAAAAAAAAAAAAAAAAAATTGTGGAGAAATCTACATTCAGTCATTACATTAGTATGCCTATGCAGATATTGTACAAAACTGTGCATTGTGGTATACTTTGATTATATTTCCTTTCTCACTTTCCTCCTCAAATTAGTAATTGTCTTTTTTTCATTTGCTTAATTCTTTTTTACTTTTATTGCTGAACCTTCCCACACTATCCAATGGCCTGCCAATGCAATTTTTCACAAAAGTCAATGATATCAGATAATCTACTGTTTCCATTATTTTCTTGGAGCTATCGAGCCAGAGATTTCCATTCTCCTTTGTAGAGCTGTCTAGGATTTTGCACAGCTGTCATCATTGGACTTTCCTTCTCTGCCATCCCAGGAACGTCTTTCTCTTGAGCTGGAGTCCTGTTTCCTGGATGACGTACTCTGTTTTTATTTACTCCCTTGTTTACTTGGGACACATCTCCAGTATTTGTATCTCTTATCCTCAAGACTTCTTCATGTAAAATTTTGGAAACTGTTATCCTCATTTTCCAGATGAAGAAATTGAGGTTCATGTAGTGTAAATAACTTACCTAAGGTTACTTAGCTGGTAAGTGGTACACAAGGAATTCAAATCCCAGACACTCTGGCTCGGACTCCATGTTCTTAACCACTGGATGTAATGCCACAGTGGTAGCAGCCATTCAAAACAGCTGTGCAGGACTATTTATGTACATGTTATGGCTTAAGGCCTGTATCCAAAAGCTACAGCACAGAACAAATGGCAGTCTTATCAACTTACTTAAGCAATTTATTCTAAATACTTTTTGTTTAATTAGGACCCTCTGATTTAAATAGAGATATTTGGAACATAAAAGTATTCACATTTACCGATTCCTTGACATAAATGTAAGGTGTGTGGGGAGACACACACATATACGTATATATACAGATACCTGACTAACCAGAACAAAGTCTTAAATAAAAACTCATCTTTGAGGACAGAAATACATTTGGGCTCTGGAGTCAGACTGCCAGGCTTGAATCCTGATTCTCTTTTTACCAGTTGTCAGTTAACTCCCTATCAAATTTTCACATTCTATGTCTATAAAGTAGGGATATCATAGAATCTGCTTCAAAGTATGTTGGGAGGATTAAATGGTAGCATAAGTACCTATGGCTAGGTGGAAAGTATTCACTAAATATTAGTTATTATAGTGTTTTCATATAATTCAGTGCTCATTGTTTTTCCTTTTATTTGTCAGACATGACATCTATATTTCACATATCCTTATAAATGCAGAGACAAGTAGATGCATAATTCTCAATTTAGAAAAAAGTATCTAAAGGTTTTTGTTCCATGTGGGCTTGCCCTTCTCTACTTCTCTATTTTTCCATTCTCCTTTTCTCCCAAAGGAAAATGTTCTTTGAACATGATAAGGGGAACTCTACCTTTGTATTAGAATAACAATGCTCTTACATGCTACCTACCTCAGAAAAACAAATTCACAGGACATATTCCAAGTTCATGAATAAATCATATGAAGGGACAACATGTTGCAGAAATAATTGCGAATAGCTAGACTATCTAATTAATAAGCAGGACCTGGCCAGAATACAATGAAAAATACACAGTTCTTTTGCATCTCATTACTTAGCCTCTCCGTAGTGGGCTGCATTGCTGCCACCTTGTGGTCAGATAAAATTTTCAAAAGCAGAATATTGATACAGTAAAGATGGATGAACAGTGAAAATAGTCCTCTTCTTATATGTTCTTTAAAAATCTATGGAGTACACATAATTATAAATGTTTCATGCTAAAAATTCCATTTCCAATTTAAAATTAAAAAAAATTAATTTAAAGGCAAAATATGTCTCTGAGCATTGGTCACACTGATAATCCTTGAATTTATCACTAGTGTTTCTGTGGTTATTCAATGCGTCTGTTTCAGTTTCCTCATCTGAAGAACAGGGCAGGGGGTTGGGGGGGGAGGGTGATGGATCAGCAGGACTGAGGGAACAGCAGTGGCCCATTTCCAATCCTAAACGATTTGGGCAGTGTGGATTTTAAAATGGTGCTTTGGAGAAATATGCAAACCTCCCTAAATCCTCTAAATGTCATTGATAGAATACAATAGCAATGACCTTTTCAATGTGCAAAAATCTCCTTCCTTATAACTCTCTGGGGGAGGTGGGAGGAAATTTCTGAGTCCACCAAGTATAGGAATGGCTATCTAGGGTTTATCAGAAAAGGCTATGTAAGAAAATTTTATCTTGTTTAGGTTATTTTGGTGAGTATACTTTAAAATGACTCTTAAATACTAATGGTTATGCTGTTTAGCAATTTATATTTCATTAGACTGATATGATTCTCACCAAACACATAAAGAGAACCTGGGCTAAGGAACTCAAGAGCACAGAGATAAGATTTTTATCTGGCACTGCATATACAAAGCATTGGTGTACCTTAAGCTGTGGAAATGCACAGTAGAAAAAGTAGCAGAATCACCCAGGTGAACACACAGGAGTTTTTGGAAAGCTGTACAGCATCTACATCCTGTTCCATTTAACTCCCTCCTGTTTCTAGCTATTCTAGGACAGCCAAGCTGGCTATTACCTCCCCAACTGATGCTGATCTAAGCTAAGCTATGGGAAATGTCACGTGTTTCTGGGCCCATTGCCTCTTAGCTCACAGATTCTGTGGAAGGGGCTGAAGGATTCACACTATTTTATTTAGAACTATGAATATATTAACCATAGAGAGAGAACCTTATGCACAAAGGTGGTATAGAACCGTGGAAAGCATGTAAAGTCAAAATAATGACAAACTTCCCAACCTTCAGTACCTGAAATGTGGCAAACCTATGTAAATCTGTAATGATGCTTTTGCAAACTGTGCCTTGCAAATATAAGGCATTATGTTATAATAATCTATATTACCCAGCTAAGTCATAATAGTAACAGGAAGTAAATCAGTAAATTGGTGAGATTTATCCACTATTTGACTTATCTTAATAGAGGCTGATTTTATAATATTCATTCATTTGTGAATATTAATGATATATGTATATTTTATAATATTTTGAGTTTGGCTTACATTTCATATCCACAATACAAACCAGCCTGATTTTTGTATATAAACAAATAAATACCTCTTACCAAGAAAGAGGCCATGAATAAATTATTTGGTCTTCAAAGATTCAAGTAAAAACACAAAGATAATTTTTTTAAATGGCTATATCTGTTATTTTTTCCCAAGGATATTATTTGGTTTGTAATAATATCTTACATATTATATCAAAAGGGGGCACCTTGGATTCATTTTACAGATGATAGTCAAGGCAGAGAAATCTCACCCTAAGGTACAATGTCAAGCCAAACAGAGGAAATCTGCCCAAGAACATTACTATTTATTATGGATTACTTCCGTTAAGTGTAACTGTGAGATGAAAGACTGCTAAACTGGAGGAATCTTACAAAATAATAATATTTTATTAATAATAGTCTTACAAAATAAATTTTATTTACAAAATAAATTAATTTCTTTACCTTTAGTTAAATTATTTCACTTTAAAGGGAGTGAGCCTAAAAAAGGTAGGGAATTTTAGAAATGTAAAAACATAATGGAATAATTTTCATTAACAAAAATTAAGATAAAAAACCATGAAAAGATTTTACTGATGAAATATTAAGTCATTATATACAAAGAAACAATAAGAACTGATGACAATATTTATTTTTTAATCCATGAGTAATAAAGGGAAGAATAAGATCTATAGAAAATCAGACCTGAATCTCCATGCCATTCATTTAAAAAAACAAACAAGCAAGCAACAACCACCAATAACAGGTAGCTACTTCCTTTTTGAACTCATGTGGGAGAAAGAAGATGGAAAAATCTACTTCCTCTTCAACTCATTTGTTTTTCTTCTTATTATGCTTAAAGGAATCTTTTTTCTCCCTCTCTTAGGATCAGATGTTTAAGGAGCTACTCACATGTGATGCATCTCATCTTCTGCAAGATTTAGACACATACTTAGGGGAAAAAGAGTGGTTTATTGGTAACTCTGTGAGTATGTTTTACATCTTAAAAAAATACAAGCATATACATATATGGATAAACCAAAAACTTTATAAAAATGTATTGAAAAAAGTGTTACTCATAGGGAGGGAGTCGGTTAGAGAGCAGGGACAAAAGCTAAACTTCTCTGAATAAAACTTTTTCAGTGGAGTTAACTTTGGAAACATGAACTAAAATATTTTATATAATTATATAACAACAACAAAAACATTTTAAAAAGCTATCACTGACAAACTAAAGCAAAGTGAAACAAATGAACTTGTGTCAAATTGGTGCACAGGGTATGTGGAGAAGTACGTGTGGACTCTATTAGTGAAACACTATCTTAAGAAACATTGTCATTTTTAAAAACACAGTGATTTGACTATACATCTCATTATAGATATTTTCTCGGGACAAAAAAATAATTATTGTACACCAGTTTCAGTTCACGATGTACTTTTTCTTAAGGTAAAGACAACAAGCATTTTGTGTCTCTTTTTCTCGAAAAAATTACCAGTCTAGTTGTTCTGGCCACCCCTTGGACCCAGATTCTGGTCTCTAAATACTAAAAGTAACCAGAACTTCTTGGAGAAATAGCTCATTCTCAGTTTGGGACAGGAAACGTAAAATATGAGCCGGGAATACTTTGACATAATAGAACCAAATAAATTATCACAACCCCCCCCCCACACACACAACACCAGAGTTGTGTCAGAATGACTTAGCAGTCAACTTGTAAAAGCTCTCACTGGCCAAAGACGAGAAAATTCAAGCCACAATAAGAATATTAACTGCAATGGATTGAAACAAATCAAAATGAATGAATCCATGAGTTTATGACAACCACCATCACCAAATACACACACACACACACCTCAAAACCAAACAAAGCTTCATTGGTGACTTTTAGAAGATGTTATGGAGCCAAATTATTACAAATTTTCATTGACTTATGATGGGATTATGTCCCAATAAATCCATCGTAAATTGAAAATATGGTAAGTCAAAAAATACACCCAACCTACTAAGTATCATAGCTTAGCCTAGCCCACCTTAAATTTGCTCAGAACACTTACATTAGCCAACAGTTTTGGGCAAAATAATCTAACACAAAGCCTTTATAATAAAGTGTTGAATATCTCACGTAATTTATTGAATATTGTAGTGAAAGTAAAAGACAGAATGGTTGTATGGGTACAGAATGATTGTAAGTGTATTAGTCGTTTACCCTCCTGATTATGTGGTTCACTGCCACTGCCCAGCATCATGAGAGAGTACCATACAGCATATCACTAACCTGGGAAAAGATCAAACTTCAAAATTCAAAGTGCAGTTTCTACTGAACATGTGTCACTTTTGCACCATGGTAAAGTCAAAAAATTGTAAGCTGAACCATCATAAGCCAGAGACTGTCTGTATTCCGAAAACTGTTAAAAACAAAAAAGTTGAGGGGTTTGAATAAAGCATTTATCGTGCCATTCCTATGCCAATTATACCTCAAGATAAAAAAAGATGGATGGACAAAGTCTGCCTACATAAAGGTATTCTAGTTAATAAGTAAGGAAAGAGGACTTCCCTGGTGGTCCAGTGGTTAAGAATCTGCCTGCCAATGCAGGGGATACAGGTCTGATCCCTGATCTGGGAAAATCCCACATGTCGCAGAGCAACTAAGCCCATGCAGTGCGCCACAACTACTGGAGCCTGTGCACCGCAACTACTGAGCCCACGTGCTCTGGGGCCCTCGTGCCGCAACTACTGAGCCCGCGTGCTGCAACTACTAAAGCCTGTGTACCACAACCTAGAGTAGCTCCTGCTCGCCGCAACTGGAGAAAGCCCAAGTGCCACACGGAGACCCAGCGCAGCCAATGAATAAATAAATAAATAAACAAATAAACAAACAAGGAGAGTTTAAAATAAATCATCACCATTTTCCAACCCATGATGAATCAATGGATCTAAGCATTGACTATCAACAATTGTTAATATCACAAAAAAGGAGAGAACCAGACATTACCGGCCTACTGACAGAGGAGTGCACTGCCACCTATGAAGTGGTCTTGCCAAGAGAAAAATCAAATCTAAATCTGATTTAGAAGCTGTGGTAAGCTGGGGTCCCTGCTTTCAAGGAGACTCCATTCTAGGAGACGAGATACTGCTTTTTGACATGCTCTTGTGACTTATTTTAATCACTGTCTGCTGAGTCCTGAGGAGACAGAGAAGCAAACTTGCCGTATCTTTTATGTTCCTTTCTCTGCCCTTATTGACTGAACAATTTCTAAGAATGTAAAATATCTTTTCCTTCTGCTTTTTATTAAAATTCCTTTGCAACCTATCTCCTAACCCCATCTCTTAGTGCTCTCTCCCTTCCTCAAAGTGTCCCAAACACTCTGGTGTTTTGTTTTTTCCTCGGACACAAGTCATACTCCCACCTAAGAGCCTTTACACTTGCTCCTCCTTCTGCCTGAAATGTTTAATCCCCAAATCACTGCATGTCTGGATCTTTTTTTCATCATTCAAGCCTTAGCTTAAATGTCACCTCTTAAAGGACTTCTCTCCCTGATCCCTTGAGAATCCTTCTCATCACTCTACTTTGTCTATATCACCTTTATCACTTTATGATTTTTTTTGTTTTTAATTGAAGTATAGTTGATGTACAATATTATATGTCACTGGTGTACAATATAGTGATTCAAAATTTTAAAGATTATACTCCATTTATAGTTATTATAAATTATTCGTTATATTCCCCATGGTGTACAATATATCATTATAGCTTATTTTATACATAATACTTTTTATCTCTTAATCACCTACTCCTATATTGCCCCTCCCCCTTCCCTCTTCCCACTGATAACCACTAGTTTGTTCTCTATATCTGTGAGTGTGCTTCTTTTTTGTTATATTCACTAGTCTGTGCTATTTTTTAGATTCTGCATATAAGTGATATCATACAGTATTTGTCTTTCTCAGTCAGACTTATTTCACTTAGCATAATATACTCCAAGTCCATCCATGTTGCTGCAAATGGCAAAATTTCATTTTTTATGGCCAAGTAGTATTCCATTTATATGTATACCACATCTTCTTTATCCATTCATCAGTTGATGGATAGGTTGCTTAGGTTGCTTCCCTATCTTGGCAATTGCAAATAATGCTGGTATGAACATTGGGGTGAATGTATCTTTTCAGATGAGCTTTCATCTTTTCCAGATATGTACCCAGGAGGGGAATTCCTGGGTCATATGGTAGTTCTATTTTTAGTTTTTTGACAAACCTCCCTACTGTTTTCCACAGTGATTGCTCCAATTTACATTCCCACCAACAGTGTAGGAGGGTTCCCTTTTCCTTTTTCTCCACATCCTCGCCAACATTTGTTATTTGTGTTCTTTTTGATGATAGCCATTTTGATAGGTGTGAGGTGATAATCTCATTGTGGTTTTGATTTGCATTTCCCTGATACTTAGCGATGTTGGGCATGTTTTCATGTGCCTGTTGGCCATCTCCATGTCCTCTTTGGAAAAATGTCTATTCAGTTCTTCTGCCCATTTTTTAATTGTCTTTTTGTTATTAAATTGTATGAACTGTTTATATACACTGGATATTAACCCCTTATCAGTCATGTCATTTGCAAATATTTTCTCCCATTCAGTAGGTTCTTTTCATTTTGTCAATAGTTTCCTTTGCTGTGCAAAAAGCTTTTAATTAGGTCCCATATTTTAACTTTGCTTTTATTTCCTCTGCTTTAGGAGACAGATCCAAAAGATATTGCTATGATTTATGTCTAACTGTATTATTCTATGTTTTCCTCTAGGAGTCTTATGGTTTCTGGTCTTACATTTATGTCTTTAATACATTTTGAATTTATTTTTGTACATGGTGTTAAAGAATATTTTAATTTCATTCTTTTACATGTAGCTGTCCAGTTTTCCCAGACCCACTTGTTGAAGTGACTGTCTTTTCTCTATTGTATATTCTTGCCTCCTTTGTTATAGATTAATTGGCCATAAGTGCATGGGTTTGTTTATGGGCTCTCTATTCTGTTCCATTGATCAATGTGTCTGTTTTTGTGCCAGTACCATACTGTTTTGATTACTGCAGCTTTGCACTATAGTCTAAAGCCAGAGAGTGTGATTCCTCCAGCTCTGTTCTTCTTTCTCAAGATAGTTTTAGCTATCCAGGGTCTTTTGTGTTTCCATACAAATTTAAAAATTATTTGTTCTAATTCTGTGAAAAATGCCTTGGTATTTTGATAGAGGTTTTATTGAATCTGTAGATTGCCTTGGGTAATATGGTCATTGTAACAATATTAATTCTTCCATCCAAGAATATAGTATATCTTTCCATCTGTTTTTGTCATCTTCAATTTCTTTCATCAGTGTCTTACAGTTTTCCAAGTACAGGTCTTTTACCTCCTTAGGTATGTTTATTCCTAGGTATTTTATTCTTTTTGATGTGATGGTAAAGGGGACTGTTTCCCTAATTTCTCTTTCTGATAACTCAGTGTATATAAATGCAACAGATTTCTGTATAATAATTTTGTATCCTGCAACTTTACCAAATTTATTGATGAGCTTTAGTATTTTCTGGTGGAGACTTTAGGAATTTCTATGTAGAGTGTCATGTCATCTGCAAACACTGACAGCTTTACTTCTTCCTTTCCAATTTGTATTCCTTTTAATTTCTTTTGCTTATCTCATTGCTGTGACTAGGACTTCCTAAACTATGTTGAATAAAAGTGGCAAGAGTGGGCATCCTTGTCTTGCTCCTGATCTTAGAAGAAATGCTTTCAGGTTTTCCCCATTGAGTATGATGTTAGCTGTGGGTTTGTCATATGTGGCCTTTATTATGTTGAGGTAGGTTCCCTCTATGCCCACTTTCTGGAGAGTTTTTATCATAAATGGATGTCGAGTTTTGTCAAAAACTTTTTCTACATCTATTGAAATGATTATATGGTTTTTATTCTTCAATTTGTTAATGTGGTGTATCACACTGATGATTGATTTGTG